CCTGAACAATATAATCATGCTAGTGGCAACAACAGTAAATAAAGAAATAACGTAGAAATAATATGAAGGGGACATACAGTGGGGGAATATAATATAAAGAGTAAGAATAATGAAAAGACCGAATTAAACTGAAAATCCTTAAACGAATTGAGCAATTAAAACAGCAAGGAAAACTGCACGGCATCACCCTTCGTGCTTTTACTCTCAACCTCACCAAATAAGTAAATAGAACGGCACGACATCACCCTTCGTGCATTAAACCTCTCATAATATACACGACATCACCCTTCGTGCTTTAAACCTCTCATAATATACACGACATTACCCTTCGTGCTTTACACTCTTCCTTACAATATAAATAATGCATGCACGGCATCACCCTTCGTGCTTTACACTCCTCCTCACAAATCACAGAATCAATAACAACGGATAGATAAGAGTATCACAAAGAAACTAATTTTTTACCCATAATCAATAGCATAATGTAATCTCAACCTTGAATCAATATTCGAAAGTTACCAAATCTCAGTGAAATCGAATATTAGTCACCCAATATTTCAAATAACCCGCTAAACATGGATAGTAGAATTTAAGGCTATAAAATAGACGAGAATAAAATTTCACTCGCATGCTATGACTCGACAACGACGCATAGATGCTCGTCACCTCACCTATACATCGTATTTAACAACTAAACATGTAGCAAATGAACACATAATACCTATTCCCTCAAGCCAAAGTTAGACACGACACTTACCTTGCTCCGAAGGCCACTTAATTCTCAATCACAACTTTTCCTTTGGAATTCACCTCCAAACCACTCGTATCTATTAAAAAATGACTCAATAATATCAAATATTGCTAAAGGAATCAATTATATTTCATAAATTAAATTTCCCAAATTTTCCTCCAAAAAGTCGAAAAATTGACCCCGGGCCCGCGTGGTCAAAACCCGAGGTTCGGACCAAAATCCATTTACCCATTCACCTCCGAGCCCGAATATGTAATTAGTTTTAGAATCCGACCTCAAATTGAGGTCTAAATCCTCAAATTTCCGAAATTTCTAATTTCTACCCTTACCCCTAATTCTACCATGAAAACTCTAGATTTTTGGTTGATAATTCAAGAAATGTAATGGGTAACTGAAAGAAAATGGTTTAGAATCACTTACCAATAATTTGGGGAAGAAATGGCTCTTGAAAAATCGCCTCTCACCGTTTGATTTTTGAGAAAAATGAAATTTTGGCTAAAATCCTGTTTTTGGATTCTATTAAGTGCTCGGCGATAGTGTTCATCGCGTTCGTGAGAGCACTGTCGCGTTCGAGAAGCATATAAGCTGTCAAGCCTTCGCATTCACGAGACAGTGTTCACGTTCGCGTAGGCAACACCCTCCCCCCCCCCCCCCCCCCCCCCCTCCCCCATGGTCTTCGCGTTCGCGAGGCATTGCTCGCATTCACGATGAAGGAACGACTGACTCCCCCTCCCCAATGCCTAATACTACGCGTTCGCGAAGGGTAACGCCCCCATCACTTCGCGTTTACAACCAAGCCTTCGCGTTCACGAAGAAGAAATTCCTGCCTCATCAGTTTACTCTTCGCGTTCGCTAGAGGTCATTCGCGAACGCGAAGAAAGATATGCCAGATACTAGAATCTGCAAAAAACCAGATTTTTCCCAAGTCCAAAACATCCCGTGGCCTATCCGAAACTCACCCGAGCCCTCGGGGCTCCAAACCGAACATGCACACAATTCTAAAAACATCATATGGACTTGCTCGCGTGATCAAATCGCCATAATAATGCCTAGAACTCTAAATTTAGCACCAAGTCAAATGAAATTCTCAAGAACACTTTAAAATTTCTATTTTCTCAACTGGACGTCCGAATCACGTCAAATCAACTCCGTTTCTTACCAAATTTCACAGGCAGGTCTTAAATATCATAACGAACCTGTACCAGGATCCGGAACCAAAATACGGACCCGATACTAACAATGCCAATTATCAATCAATTCTTAAAAACATATAATTTTCAAACTTTTAATTTTTATCAAAAATTCATAACTCAAGCTAGGGACCTCCAAATTTGATTCCGGATATACGCCCATGTCCCATAATTCGATACGAATCTACCGGGACCATCAAAGCATGGATCTGATCCCGTTTACCAAAAATATTGACAGAAGTCAACTAAAATCAACTTTTAAGGCAAAAATTCTTATTTTCATTAGTTTTCAATATAAAAGCTTTGTGGAAACCTGCCCGGACTGTGCACGCAAATCGAGGAGGGTAAAAATGAGATTTTAATGCTTAAGAGCGCAGATTCAAGTTCTAAAAGATAAGCTGACCTTTTGGGTCATCACGAAGAGTATTTGTATTTTAGAGTTTCTTAATACATACAAGATACGAATCGAAGCTATTGTATTTTGATGAACCCATAATATATTTATATGCGTCTATACTAGCCATTGGCAAATTAATGTACTGCTTAAACCAGGGGCGAAGCTACATTTACTAAAGGGTGATCAGCTGACCACTCTTCGTCGAAAAATTACACTGTATATATAGGTAAAATAATAGGTTTTGAATGTATATAGTATATATTGAACATCCTTTGTCGGAGATTTTTTTTACTTCTTTCAGGTTTGAACACTTTGAGAGATTTCTGGCTTCGCCACTAACTTTTTTTCCCCTCTTTGTCCTCCCTTGCTCAAACATCAACCTATCCGAGAGACGATGAAGGTCATATAACAATTGAGGAGATGTTCAATTGAGGAGAAGTTGTCTTTCTTTCTTATTCTCTTATTGATATGACTATGAAACTATGTCATAAACTTTACTTACCAAGTTCACTCACATAAACTAAGTAGACTTGATGATGCATGTAAAGATAATTAATTAAGAAAGCAAATCTTTTTCGTGAGACTTAGCTAAAGGGAAGCTAAGTAAAGGGAAAGAAATTTAAAACAAGCTAAGCAGAAGAGACTTAGCTTACACTAACAAAACCAAGGCAACATTCAAGAAAACATTCACTACCAAAAAACAAGAACTAGCGACGGATAAAGTTCGTAGCTAAACAGTGTAGAATCCCTCGCTAATCCTACTTACAACTTGTTTGGATGATTGTTATGTATCATTTAGTAATATATCGTATTGTATTGTACTGTATCATTTTAATATATACAATATTTGGATAAATTATATTGTTTGTCGTCATTTCATGATGTCATGTACCAACAATACGAAGAATAAACTTGTAAATTACAAAGAAAATGTAAGGCACGAGATATGATTATTATATAAGAATGTAGGATAAAGATTAAAATAGGATTATTTAATAATAAGAAAGTGCTAGATGAGAGAAAAAAATTAGGTAATGACGCGAACACACCAAATCAGTCATTACATAAAGTGACACTTTTCGTTTACATAACGACGAATTTAAAGATACGATATAATAGAACTTAAATAATAATAAAAATAAATATTATATTTATAATAACAATACGATACAATACAATAGGTAACGACCATCCAAATAAGTTTTTAGCAACGGATTAACAATAAATTATCAGAAAATTCTATTAGCTATGAGCGATTTAGATACGAGGTTCGTAAGTAATTCCAGCTTTTTAATAGTGATTATATGTGAGGAGCAAGTCCATCTAGACTAGATAAAAACCTAAAAATGGCAAGATTTTAAGAAACTAAGAAACTATATATGGCATCCTCTGATAAAGTAGCTTTCGCAATCTGAAATTTTATACGATCTAGAAGGATATATATATATATATAAAACCTAAAAATGGCAAGATTTTAAGAAACTAAGAAACTATATATGGCATCCTCTGATAAAGTAGCTTTCGCAATCTGAAATTTTATACGATCTAGAAGGATATATATATATATATATATATAAAAATTATGATATCAATACTTTAATCCCAAATCAGCATATACGTGTGTTTGTCTTTTAGTATTATAATAATAATAAGCCTCGTTACATTATCCGATACATGAGTGCCTAACTAATTATAACTATATATCTTTCCATTTTAATTTCATATATAGGCTCTTCTGTTTTCCACTAATGTTTGCACTTAATAATCCTCTATAAACTAAATAATGAAATTCGTAATGTTAATTGCCAATGCCAAAGAACGAGGTGGTGGGGGTGTTACAGAAAACATTAGAAGGGGTTCGATTCAATGTTTCTCTAAATTAAAATGTATCAACAAGCTAAATGCTAAGATTAAAACTAATGATAATTTCTTGACAGGGTAATAATAGATAATTATAAATACTATTAGAAGTTAATGTCTTAAGCATGTGGAATGACATTTTTATGACTATAAGAGTACGACTTTAGGGGTCAAAAAAGTTAAAATAAAATTAAAGAGCTTCAAGAATAGAAAAATATTATTTTTTAATATAAATGAACTATAAAGATGCATCACGTGACACTTCTTGGTCGAAAATTTGCATTAAATATGTATACATAGATAATAAGAAAAATAAAAATATTGGGATAAATATAAAAAATGATGCTTATCATTATAATGATTTATTCATTTGTTTATTTATTTAAATGTTGGCATCACTTACAGCAAAATTCTGCGTACACTACTGGAGATTAACAAAGAAGTGGCAAAAAAGAAGAAAGTTATAGCATAACAACGTTATAGTTTTCCACTTCAACTATGAACCAAGAAAAACCAAATCAAGAAACTAACAACAATAACAAACAACTGTAAAAGAGCATGATATATAGTACTAAACTATATCTGAAAAACCGCCTTATATAAATGAAAAGAAGGCATGCAAAATGATATACTTATTGTTAGACCGAAATAATCAGGTGTCATGTAGAAGTTAGTAAAGCAAATCTTCAACGGCGATAAATCATACAAGGAAAGATAAATATATCAAAAGAGTCACAAACATTTAACGTGGTTCGGTCAATTGACCTACGCCCACAGGTGGAGATGAGCAATCCACTATATAAAAGAGAATACAAAATATCGAGTGAACAACCTCACGAAAAGTCAAACACAAGTAACACACTAACATTTGTCCCATAAAGTTCTTCCCCTAAAGAAGACTCTCAACCCCTTATGACTACATTGTGGATGCTACCGAATGAGAATGAAAGATCCTCAATTTATAAAAGTTCAAACATTTTCCTCCATGAAAAAGAGACTAGCCAAATAGGGAAGCATTATATTTTTTTTCCGTAAAAGGCGAAAAAACAATTATGGTAAATATGTTGCCCTTCTTTCAACGTATAGGAATACCAAACATGCTAACAAAATCAGAACAAACACGATAACACTTATTAGAATTTTGCATTGTCCTACCATCATTTTCTTATGTTATGGAAATTAATCAAACTCTAGGCAAATTACTCAGCAACAGTATTATTAGTCTGTTCACAAATAGTTGCTCCTGCACCATATGATTGATGACCTTCTGCCACTTCTACTATCTTCTGATTTCTTGATCTTTTCCTTTTCTTCTCATAGCTAATACCTCTAGACTTAGACTGAAAACAACGAACATCACGTAAGAAAAGCTTAACTGCTCGAGTCCCAAACGGATTCATTTCTGAATTTCCTCCATTTTCTTCGTAAGCAGCTCGAAGACGCCCAATAAGAGAATCAAGACTTCCCCAAGCTTGCCTTAAAGGACAAGTACATGGCAATGGAGGATTCAGCACCCCAAAAAATGGGCAATTTTGGTTATGAACTTTGGTCTTTCCGAACTGATCCAAGTACCTGTTGGAAATTATTTAAGAGTTTAAGAGCGATTATACACTAATAGTAAGTAATTACCTTATGTAATACAATAAATTATGCTGATAATGTAAAAGAATCTTTGCACTTAAATGGAACATGAACAATAGGAGCAAAGACTAACAGAATCGAGAGAAAGTTGAAAACCCTAGTCTTACCGAACTGATCTAGGTACTTGTTGAAAATCTATGCGTTTAAGTAACGATATATAAATATATATTTACATAATTAGGAGGTAGTTCTATTTAATATATATAAAATTGATTGACAACTTAAAATAAATGGTAAGTAATCTGCTATAATGAATTTAATTATACTGATCATAGTGTAAAAAAAAAAAGCATGCATTACACTATTAGTGCATATAACTTAAATATGATACTCTCTCCGTTTCAATTTATGCCAAAAAAAGCGTTGTCCATTTCCTTTTTAGCCTGTTTTAGCCTGTGCCAAAAAAAATGACATCTTTCTACATTTGGAAATAATTACCTTTATGCAATGATTTATAGTCACATAAAATATATGTGACTCATTATACATCACAAGTAGGGGTGTACAAAGAAAATCGATAAACCGAACCAAACCGAGAATCCGAGTCAAACCGAAAAAAAAAATTCTAATGTGGTTTGGTATTAAAAAATAAAACCCGACCATAATTAGTTTGGTTTGGTTTTAACTAAAAAAAAGTCAAACAACCGAAACCAAACCAACCCGATAATACATTTATATAATTTTTAAAAATATTTTATACATATAATATTATTTGTAATGTAATTTATAAATATTTCTTAAACTTTTTCACAATTTTATCATTTAATGTATTATTTCAAGTTTAGACTTAACATTCTTGAATGGTAATTAAATTTATAACTCATAAATGTGGTAACTCAAACAAAGTTCAAATCAATACTAATGATAACAAAAGAAAGTCAATTCAATACTAGGAATGACGATAGTGTTGAATAATTATTTTAGTTTTACATTGGTTTATAATGAAAATGCATTACTTAATTTATCTTTTTCTTTAGTGCTTAGTTATGTAATTAATATTAGTACTTATTAGCTATACTTATTTTAGCATGACCTATATAGTTTTTTTAGATTATATGAATTTTCATTATGGCTTATTAATTAGCAATATTTATTTTATGTAATTTTATTATTTTATTTTTGTTATTGAATATTTTAGTATAATGATATGACTTATCTCATATTATTGGGTTAGTTTCTTGAAAAACACATTATGTAGTTATATTTTACTAGGACTTATGAAATATTTAGAGCACGAATTACATATTTTATGCTATAAAGACTTAACGGACAAAAATTCGAAACCCCGCAGAAAAACCAAGATTGAAAAATCCGAATTTATTGGTTTGATTTGGTTTATAAATTTAAAAACCCGACACCATTGGTTTGGTTTGATAATTGAAAAATTCGAACCAACCCGACCCATGTACACCACTAATCACAAGTTCAAAAGTATTTTTTTTGTTAAACTCCCTGTCCAGTCAAATATGTTCACATAAATTAAAACGGAGGAAGTATTTGGATAGAACATGAATGATAGTAACAACGATTAACAGAATAGAGAGAAAGTAACTAGCTTGGTATATTTCCATAGAAGATAGTAAAGTGGACATGCTTATTTATAGGCTTAATTAATTCAAATAAAAGATCAGAAAAATCCTCAACTACAATCACAGTTCTAAATACCAATATATCTNCAAACAGAAGTAATAAGTTCAAAACTTAGAAATATTATTATTCAACATTACCTAAGAAATTCCAGGACGTGACCACTGCTGCAAAGAGAAAACGACAATGGCGGATAGTGGTTTCTTAAGTATTGACAGAAAGTGTTCCAATCTCGACGTTTCTGGTTCTCGTATCGGCTTAATGGTGGAGCTGACAAGGGGATAACAGTAGTGTTTGAGAGATCACTACTTTTGCTGGGAATAATGTTTCTTGAAGTTACATTGACTTTTGCTCTCACAAAATCGGCCATGGGAAATATAGTATATTAAATAACCGAGAAATGTTCTTTCTATCTTATGATGAGTCAAGCTCTAACAATCAAGAAAACTGATATATCCTAAGCAACAACTTTATCAGATCTTATGGTTATTTTTGTAAAATCTTATTATGCAAGAGTCAGAAAACCCCCGTTTATTGAGGTGAACTGGTTCAGCTTCTCTACTATTATGACTGAAAAATTTATTGGTCAGTGAGAGTACTATAGGGTCATATATGTAGTTGACCTAATCTAGCATGGTCAAAGGTTAAAGATGAAAAGAATTTAGAATAGTAAAGCAAATAAAGGATATATACTAAAAACGACACTGCAACATTATGCATATATAGTTACGAATAAGACTGCGAAGAATATTGTGGCTAGTGACAAAAAAAGGAATTTCTCTGTAACAATATCTTTGGATAGAAATCTTGATAAAGAGCTGAAATTAGTGAGTAAAAGAGAGAAGTATAATGTCCACTGATTTTTGGTCCAAGAAAAGGAAGAAGAGAGGAGGATTTTAAGTGGGGGGCAAGAAAATGAGAAGTGAAGAGAGTGACATTTGTGGAAAGAGTTTATATCGTGAGAAAGGGCAAAGTTTTTGGCATTTATTTTGAGGTTGTAAAAATGTATGTACGACGTTAGGTTTTGCTGGTAACCCTACTGCTACTAGTACTGGTTTACTCACTATTAGGGCACGTGTAAAATTTAAAACAATTGAAAGCAACCGTACTTATAAGGGAAATCTACAAGCCAACAATTCCAGGAAACTTCATAGCAAATACCTTTAATTCCAAAAAATTTCTCTTTGCTCACTGACAAGTGACAATGTATAACTTAATTTATTTTACACAACAAAAACAATAACCAGTAAATTCTCACAAGTGGAGTTTGGGAAGGGTAAAGTTAGGGGTGTCATATGGACAGGTTTGGCCGATTTTAGGCAGGTCAAAATGAGTTGAGTCGATAATTGAGTGAGTCAAAAGTTACTTGGGCTAAGATGAGTTGGGTCAAGATTGACTAAAATTTGGGTCATAACTCAACCCATTTGACCCGTCCAAAAGTTACTTGGGCTAAGAAGGGTTGGGCCAAGATGGACTAAAATTCGGGTCATAGTCCAACCCGCCCAACTCTTTTTAAATTTTACTTAATATGTGTTGTCTTCTTATGAATTGTATAATTACTGAATAAAACTTTTTTCTTTTGTTATGATCATATATAACATATAAAAAAAAATTATTTCTAAGATATTTTGGCAAAGTTACTCATGGATCAATTTGGGCTAAAAATTGACCCAATTTTAAATGGGTTGAGACGGTTTTGGTCAAGATGGATTAAGTTCAATAACCAACCAATCTTGGGCAGGTCATTTGGGCTTAGGTCAAATTTGACACCCCTAGGTAAAGTGTACGCACCCCTCTACCCTAGGAAAATAGAGATGTTGTTTCCGATAGACCCTCAAATAAAAAAAAGAAAGAAAAGAAGTAGTAGCAACAAGTAACAACAACAACAACCACAAGATATTAAGGAAGTGAATCAAAGATAGCAATCAAACAATAGGTAGGAGTAGCAATCTAAGGATAAAAGGATACCATACTAACACTAATGTTATCAAATTCAGAAAGAAAAATGACACTCTTGACTACCTACTATCCTTGTACAGTCAGATCTCTCTATAACAACATCCCTATATAACAACACTTCTCTATAAAAGCCAAGCTTTTTCGGAACCAATTTTTATGTTATGTTATAATATATGTTCTCTATAACAACACTTCGCTATAGCATCCAAAAATATTCGGAACAAATGAGGTTGTTATAGAGAGGTTTGACTGTATACCCGAATCCTCGATCTCCACAGTACCCTTCTACTAAGGGCCATGTCCTCAGTAAACTCCAATTGAACCACGTCTTACCTAATCACCTCTCCCAATACTTCTTAGACCTACCTTTATCCCTACCTCTCAATCTTATTATACACGATTCAATATTTACATCCACTTTATTACTTACTTTGGGTGTAATGTCAGATAACTCTCTATGAATTTATAATTAATTAGTCTAATTAGCATATGATATGCTATATATAACAAGTTAAAGTGCATTAATTAAAGATATAAAAATCAATACAACTGTTATCATTATCGTTCCTTTGAGATTACAAGTGACGAGGCACCACTATCGAATAAAAATTTGAGCAAATATGTTTGACCATTATTTACCTTCACGACAGCTTGAATGGATAAAAGTTGTGAATAGCGCGGTATTTGTTTGTACCTAATGGAGGTTAGATCATTCAAATGTCAGCCTATTAAAGTGTATGTTTTTTTTATAATCACTTATTAGATCTTAATAAGTTTGTATTATTTGAATCTTGTACAGAATTTTAATATTATTAAGACTCGCTTAGTTAAAAATTTGTATGAATGTATTGTGGTAACACTACTCTATTTATTGACACTGGCAATTATCGCTGGCATTAACCATGCACCATCATACAACCACCAACACCAACAAACTTCACCACCAGATATATATAGATCGACAGGAGCGGAGCTAGTAGCCTGGATACGGGATTAGAGAAAATTCGGTAGCTTTTGTTCAAAAAGTATATTTGTGTTAAAAAATTTATTAATTATATACAATTATTAAATTTAGAATGCAATTATTAACGATTGAAGTTATCGTTCTGAAATCCATAAAGTTGAAATTCTGGCACCGCCTCTGCACGTCCACAACTGCCACTATCAACCATTCCACAACCTGCCACCACCAGCCACTCCACAATTGTGAACCACTATGACTAAACCACTTGCACCATCAATCGTCACCACTATCACTAACCGCATCGACGCCACCGCAACACATCCATTTAGGGGCAAAACTAGATGTTTGGACGAACCCAATAACTTTTATTCAAATAATTATTTGTGTTAAAAAGTTCATTAGATATGTACAAATATTATATTTAGAACTCAATTATTAACACTTGAAATCGTCGTTTTAAAATTCAAAATCAATAAAATTAGAATCTTAGCTCCGCATCTGCGTTCATGTCTGTTACTTTCTACTTTCTATTCTCCATTTTTAGCATATCATCTCCCTTTCACATATCTATTTTTATTTTACTTTATTGTTTTAAAAAATTAATTTCACGCATATATTTGTGCAATATAGATTTAAAATAAACAATAAATATTATTAAAATTATTAATAGCACTGTATAGAGTGTAGGACGAATTTGAGGAAATTTCGCAGTCTAATTCCGTCCTCTTAAAATACTATTTATGGCATAAAACAACAAAAAAGTACGACGTACTATATTTTAGACCTGCTAACACCAGTGATTCATTAATTTGGAAGTCGAAATATCAAGAAAGTGATATAAATGGTCTTTATATTTGGCAACTAACTTCAATTCAGTGACCATCTTAATTAGTAAGTAGTAATTGTTACATATCAACAATGGTGTATGCAGATATTTTTCATTAAGTTGTGTCAATATTTAAAGAAGGCAATAGATGAAGAAATTACGATAATACTAAACGTGTTATTATTTAAATTTATACCCAATATTTTTATTTTTCTTGTTATTTATACATACATATTTAACCACTAAGGATAGGGTACATCCGCCCCTGCATACCTGAAATAGTACAAACTTCTGACACTCTCAATATATACAACTAAAACTATTTCACTACACCTTACAATATTGGGCGAAAGCCAAATTAATAGCATGTTTGGCCAAGTTTGTTTTTTTTTTTTTTGGCAATTTTTTTTTTTTTGGTCAAAATTATTTTTTTGCCAAAATTAAGGTGTTTCCAAGCTTTTTGAAAGAAAAAAAAAAGTATTTTTGAGTAGAAGCAGAAACAGTTTTGGAAAAGCACAAAAAAAACTCTTCAAAAACACTTTTGACAGAAATAAACTAAGAAGCATTTTTTAAAAGCTTGGCCAAACACTAATTGTTACTCAAAAGTACTTTTCAAATTAATTAGCCGAACACAAACTAACTTCTCCAAACCAGAATTTTGGCCCAAGTTTGGCCAAACAGACTATAAAACTTGCTCCCAATGCTCCCATGTAGAGGGGGGCAAAAGAGAGCTGAATAAAGTATTCATTTACATTTTGTATGAAGTTGCCAACTGCTTTCTTCTCAAATTGATAGACTCCTCTGGCGGAACGATAGCGACACAGCTATGTCATTACATTATACAATCCTCAATAGTCAATACAATTGTACTGCTAACATATTCATCTACATTACCAAACAAAAACTTCATGACTTTCCGCTTGCAGACAATCCAATCCAGACAGGAAATTGATAGAACCAAGAAAAAGTTGTCTAAATCAATGTGCACACCTAATTAGACCTGCTGCTGTTTCCTCAACTGAATCATGGAAAAATCCATATACAACATATGTACATTGTATCATGAACAAATTATTCTAGTGGTCAGTTTGTATGTTTCAATTGTAAATAAAAGGCATACAAGGACATCTAAAGACAAAAAGGAGAGAATCCTGGCAGTTTCTGATTGGTACCGTATATGCTTCGAGTCTATTGATGCTTCTTGTCTGGGGTGTGACCGCTCCATTTGTTCCCAATAAGGGTACTTTAGTACCCAGCGGACAAGGTCTGAATGCGGTGATAATCTTATTAGAACTTCCCCATAAAACTTGCTCTGCAGTAGAAAATACCAAACATCAAATGCATCTAGCGAATGTTGAGCATCAGTGTTGGAGCTGCCTTTGAACATACTGAATCAACCAAGTATTTCTTTCTGTCTGGTCAGCCTACACAAATAACGACAAATAAGACAAATTCTGTTATCAAGAACACAGGATTGGCTTCACTAACAGCAAATGGTGAATGGAAAGCGTAGAACACGAACTAACAGCAACAAGCAGTTGGAAGTATCAAAAAGAAAAGGACATGACAGCTGCTGATTAACTACTCATTCAACAATTTTTTCATAAATCAATAAAAATGCAAGAAAATTCAGGGGCTATTTTTCTTTCAGATTCCTTTAACTGATAAAACTGTTACTGTTATATTAAAGGAGACGGGATGTGAGAATATAGAATCTTTCACTTAATACACAAACCATACCATTTAATGAAAAGTAAAATTTTGAGGACTAAAGGATAGGCTCTTTTTGAAAAAAAATATCATGCCAAACAAGTAATCAGTAGTTCATAATTCCTTATTCAATTGAATTCTTCCAACAGATCAGAGTTCTAAATTCTTTATAGTTGAGTCAGAAGTTTGATATGTTGGATAATATTGGCATCCATCGAGTCAACAGATGGTGGCAACATCATGCTGGTTAAAATAAAACCAAAATCAAGCCCCCAGTCATGAATGGGAACATAAAGGGCAGACAAGCCATTACCAAATGAAGCGGCTAGGGCTGATAGCTGCATGGTGGAACAAGAACAGCACCAATGCATAGTTCCTGCGGAGATATTTCTGTCCTCCACAAGAGATCATCGTAATCTTGATAATCTCTTCCTCTTTCGATTCTTTTTAGCAGTTGAACAAATTAAACTGTTGTTGGCACTGGAGGGGAGAGCAATAGCTGATGGTCTGCCAACAGATGTTCTGCCCTTTTTAGCGACCCATCTCAAAGGCATATTATTTACTATGGTGCCAATATCATGAGACTGGTTTAGCTCAACTAGCTTCCGAATTTGATCAAGCATCTGGTGTGTCCATGCTGTTGACAGATCCAGTGCCATTGAATCATCCACCGGCTTTCTCGTTAGACTCACTAGAACCTCATTAAATGATTGAAATGACATAGAAGGTCGACATGATTGAAGATTCCCACATATCATATTGACTTTAATAATATGCTTGCACATATTTCCTTGCATTGACCATTCACAATCACAATGGGCAAATTCTGACCCAGGATTCCAAACTAGGTGTGTTTTACTGCTGTCTTTCTGGCTCAAAACTTTTGCGAATGAGTTATCCTTGTTATCCAAGGTCACAGCATCATCAGGAATTTGCAGAGCTCGATGCCAGGATGTGGTGGCAATATACTCCTCCTTCACATTTTGGAAAGAATCACTTTCATCTGCATATCGATCAAGCCAGTAGCTGGAGTGTAACTCAGTTGTCAATTTGTGAACCAACCAATCAACTCTCTGGAGTGCCCCAAGATGTGAATCATCATATAGTCTGACTTTCAACTTGACATGATATGCTTCTATTGCACCAGATGCTTCCTGACTCGCAAGAGGTAACGTTCTCGTTGTAGTAAGCCACATTTCTGTATTATGAAAATACAAATATTACAGGGAAATACAGGAAAAAGATTCCGAAAAAATATTTTAAATATAGTAATGTTATATTGATTCGATCTAATTTATTTATTTTGTGTATGATAGCTTAGATGTTCTTTTTCTTCTTTCTTTGAAACAGAATTTTTTGCAAGGTGAAAAAACCAGATAACCGGAGAGATGATCTAACCAAATTTAGGCTCCCAAGTGGCTTTGAAATATTGCAAGAAGGCCATTTGATCAACAAAATCTTGAGAAAGTTCTTCTAAAGCAACAAAAGGATCACTTCCATCCCAAATGCTGTACACTGTGTCACCTAGACGCTTAAATATCTCTCTTTGAACTTCAACATTACTACATTTCTTGATGATATTTCTCAACCACGATCTACGAATACGCCAAAGTGAAAATAGAACCGGACATGAAAATATCTCCCTGAAAAGATATCAAGATCAAGTAAATCTGTTATAGAACTATGTGATGAACTTGACAGAGAGAAATAGTAGACCACAAGAATTTTGCCTTATGGGGTCAATTTCTGCTGCAGCATCGTCGATTAGGAAACCATTGACCTTCCATGTTGGATCGACAGCACGGACACGATCATGAAGAGCTTTCATCCATTTACTCACGTCAGGCTTGGCAATTGTGCGGGTGACGACCCAAGCAACAGGAAGGGCATGCTGTCTTGAATCAAACACAAGAAGTGTGCACAAAGGATACTGCAAAATTACGTAGATTAAGAAATTAGAACTATGTGAGATGTTGTCAAGGTTAAAAGGAAGAGACACCATGCTTCATTACCTTTAGTTTCTTTATACCAAATGTTGAATCAACTGCTATTAGACTACGATGTCCAAAACGAATCATTTGTTGTAACTGCCAGTCAGTTTGGATACCTAAGATGAATGGATCATGTTCCGATGTATCCTGATAAAAGAAAATAGATTTCTTATTCCGCTCGACCCACAATCTTATGCTAGCTTGATCATCTAGATCCAATTCATGAGTAGATCTTTTGATAATCATGCCAAGTTTGTGGACATACTGAGCAGCAAGGCTATTCACTTTCGCATCAGAACCACAATAACGTTGAATACCCTCAATATGTTTTTCTAAAACATTCTTCTCAGGAATGCCAAGATAGATCATAGACATAGTTTGTTGTTGAATCTCATTGCAAACGTATGGAATCTTTTTTGCACCAGGGCCAATAGCATCTCTATCAAGCGGCCCATGGCATAAAGAACCGGACTTGTTAACATGACGCCTGTTGTTATATATAATAAGTGCAAGAGATGGACGGGTATACAAGCGCTTCACTATGAAATGGCAAGTGCAGCCCCTCATGGACTGGGGTCTAGCAGCTCGGTTTCGAGTGTTAAGCCGATATCGTCGGCTAGGTAAAATATCGCCACCTTCTCCATAATTTTCAGGGCCGAAGGAACACCAATACCTGAAATAACAGCATGTCAAGATATGAAGGAGAAACTTGTAAACAATTTTACCTTACAAATTCATATCAGTGTAGTCAAAAGCAAAAAGCACCAAAGTGCGTTGAAGCACCAAGGGGGCTTTAGCTAAGAAAAGCACAAATATAGAAAAAATAAAAAAAAATAGAAATGTAATGCAAGAAAGTGTAACGATAAACACCAAGAATAATTATTTGGACAAAAGAACGGAAACGATAATTAAGCTATATATATATA